ATGGACGAGTTGAGCCATTCCGTGATCCAGGTTGAAAATCCTATGTGATTAATTTTGTTAATGATGAGGTTGTGCGGTACTGTATCGATAGCTTTCGCAAAATCGACGTAAACCGAATCCACTTGCTGTTTTGATGCTATATCACGTGATATCACTGACACATATCATATTGATGTCGTTGAGCGGTGATTCATAAAACCGTGCTGGCTGTTGCTGATGATCGGAGCAGCAACTCTGCACAGAGCTGTGTGGATCAGTTTCTCCAACATCCTACTGATAGTGCAAAGTATGGATATACCACGATAGTTGGTGACAAATTTTCTATTTCCAGACTTATGGATCGGTACTATGGTTGCCGTTTTCCATGCATTTGGGAACGTTCTGTCTTTAAGCGAGCGGTTGAAAATAGCAGAGATGGGCGCCGAAAGCATAGTGGCACAGTTTTTCAGCAACACAGGAGGAAAGCTGTCCGTTCCGGGTCCTTTCGTTGAATCAAGATCTTCGAGGGCTTTCTGAACTTCGCCTGGAGATAACCCCGATTTTGAGATTGGAAACAAGAAAAGAATAACTCGATGCATGGCCAAATATCAGTATCATCGCTAGTATTCCTCACAAAGAAGACCTATTTTGATTGCTGAGAAGGCGTGTATTTGAAGAGATCCCAGAATTTTCCAAAGATACGGAACATCAGAATGAGGATTCATGTAAGACCTATTTTAATTAATGAGAGGTCGTGTTTTTGGAGAGGTCACAGAACTTTTCAAATAAAACGGAGCATCGCAATTGAAATAGGATTCGCATGAAAACTATTTTGGTTGATGAGAGGGCACCAGCATAAATGCGAACCATTACTTGACCTTATCAAAAATGGTTAAAAATTGTTTATAATCTCTGCTAAACTTTAACTGAAATTTGTATGGAACTTTACATGAACGTTATGGTTTTTTGGAAGTGAACCTTACAAACAATGGGTTGTTAAGAACCATAACCATGTAACCGTTGGGTCACAAATTCATAGGTTTTTGTCATTTATGTTATATATTCAGAACCTTCACGATTCTTGTGCAAGAACAGCAGTATACCACATAAGTGATAGGGTTCTGTACCGCTGTAAAAATGTTGTGCCGTTACGTTATGTCCACAATAGAACTACAAACAACCATAGAAAACTAGGATAACGGGATGAAAGAAAATTGGGGAGAAGAACAGCCAGTGCCGAAAATCGGCCTATTTTAATATCAGGCGTCCGTGTGCTAAGACGCAATTTAATTAGCTAAGTGCAGTGGTTGGTGTTTTAGGACGTGAACCAGGTTCCCCCCTAGCAGCAGCTAGGTGCGCTAGGGCAAGCTAATGTTCAGGACCTCCTTTATATTGGACCTTAAAAAGGTCATCCGTAAGCACACGGCTGGCTCGTGAAATTGGAAACAGTTTCCGAGCCTAATTGTCAAGGACCAAACAATATTATCTGGCCAAACGTAGGCCATAATCGCAAAGGAGTTTTCCCTTCTGGGTTTGACCAAGGTGGCCTTGCCGCTGACCCGTCATCCGCTCGCATCGCCAATCTGGCGAGAGTTCCGGCCGCACAGTAGGACAGGAGTCACTGTGTCGGCCATCCCGATTCACCATCAACGGCAGCAGCGGTATGTACCGGTACAGTAAACAACGTGATTAGGCTACACGACACATATTACACGAAATTGTGAACACAGAACAACACGCAAATAATACAGAAAGTGACGAATAAAAGCGTTTAAAGAAAAGTGAAAGTTCTTCGTTTTTGTATCGCGAAACCCTCTGATCACCCGGTAGCTAGCCGACCCTGGGTGCTCCGGAGCTTGCTCTTGTCGCCTGAGTCGACCGGGTTCTGTATGCTTGATCTCCGAGTAGGTAGTTGGTGAGTGCTGAGTTCTGAAATCAGTAATAACCATTCCAAATTATTATACATTTTCGGAAAAGGAATTATATTAGACCCTTTTTATTTATGATTTTATAACTTTAATGGTAATGGTTATGGGAGTCATAAGGTCCATGGATGGTCTTGTAACATCGATCAACTTTATGTGGAATTGGTTGCCTGTAAATTAATGATTACCAATTCACGAATTATTCCACGTAAAGTTGATCGATGTTACAAAACCATCCATGGACCTTAATGACTACCATTACCATTAAAGTTATACAATCATAAATAAAAAGGTTCTAATATAATTATTAGAAATAATTAGTAAAGTTTTTTTTTTAGCGTTAACATTTTTGATAAGCTTCAAATCCCGGACATAAGACAACGCTATCTTAACACTGAACTGGACGGTTTTCTTGACGTAGACCAGTCCACCAGATCCTCCTCTAATCACAACAAGGTCATAACCGAAGTTTCCTTGATTGATAGGTGTCATGTTTTAAACCTCTTTGTGTTTCTTGTACTTCTATATAATACAATTGACTTCTGTTTGTAACACCTGGTGCAAAGTTTTATCACAATTAATTACTATATTGTTGACAGAACAATTGTGGAAAAATTAGTGTAGAATTTCAGAATTCTTAAAATCACAGATCACTTAAAAGTACAGCTCTCGCCGACTGAGTTGAACCATAGAAGTAACGCTAAGACTTGTAGGTCCCGAAGAAACGTGCTCAAGTTTTTGGCTCAGCTCTGGTACTATCTTCGGTCCCAAGCTAATAGATTCATCCCTCGAAACATAGGAAAATCCACTAACCCCTCATTGTATCTGTCAAACTTTCATAGCGAATCATAACAAACATAGTGTGGTACTGGAATTTATACTAGAGTGGGGTACGTTAATCGATTTGCTTGGAACCAATAGGCTAGTCAAGTAGTGAGCCAATTTAAAATCGTTATTTTCGTATTGATTGTTGGTTGAACCGTATTGATCGCCAAGAGGTTATTCCGTGCACTATCGGTGACGTCTGATCTCCATTCAGGCCTACGACAATACTCGCCAGTTGCTAGTGAAGAAATAAAGCCTGCATTCACACCGTTGAGTTAGATTACGAGGGAGAAGTGTACCCCATTAGGCATAAATACGTTAGGCATACGGACGTTAGGCATACGGACGTTAGGCATAATGGACGTTAGGCATAAAGTCATTTGACATAATGGACGTTAGGCATAATATACGTTAGGCATAATGGACGTTAGGCATAAAATACCTTGCTGCTGTGCAACTCTAGCAACCTGTTTCGAGCATGGTAAACAATGCTTAAATAAGGTTAAGCGTTGAATAAAAAATGATACAAGTTAAACAAACATAGTTTATTTAATACGCACAGTTTGGAATCCATTATTTATCATATCATAAGTGACGTAGCTACATATTAACTTGGATCCAAGATTAGTAGCGATAGCGGTTAAGTAATCTGGCAATGAAAACAGCTCATTAAATGAAGATTAGTGAATTATGTGGTTTTTCATTCAATAACAAAAAACTGCTGCTTCCAGGATTTCCTGCAATACTTTTCGATAAAACGATTTTGTTTTTGTTGTCATCAGAATGAAAACTAGGGAGCGATACTTCCATGAACAGTGACGAGTTGCCGAAATAAACAAGGAACCGTGGCAAACGAACCATCTGTGTAACCCAATACTTTGCCTGTTCAATACGTCGCAAGTTTTCATGAGTTCAAAAAATTAAGGCTTTTTCATTATTGTCACCGAAGTCAGCACTCAATAGACGGTCCCCATTATCATCCTTCTGGAATTCGTCGGGTAGATTATGCCTAACGTCCGTATGCCTAACGACCTATGCCTTACGTCGTGTACCCGAGTTAGATTACGAGTACTTTGTTGTTGGTTTGGCCATGCTGGTAGCAGTCATCTCATTTTGTTTTTGTTGACAAAGTTAATTTTAACAATGTTTTATTGTAATGGTATGTTTTATTGTATATTTATGATATTTTTACTCTCGAGTTCAAACAAATTTTTGCTGCTCAAAATGAAATTAACGGAGTTTCCAGTGACTTTGCTCCGTTGGTCGATGAGTGACAAGAAATGGATGTGAATAATTGATTTTAACTTATTTGGACGCTGGAGTGAACCCTGGAGTAAACTCCAACATAAATTCTTGATAGAGCTGGAATTAGGGCGCAACAGCTTCTGTAAACAATTACTTCTTTCGATGATTTCTAGAAATTCAAGGCTAGTCAACGCAAATCAACATCACCATCGGGTAGAGGAAGACTTCTTCTACCCGATAGTTATGTTGGTTTGCGTGAGCGTGCCTTGAATTCCTATAAATCATCGAGAGGTCATTGTATATAATTGTATATAAAAGCTGTTACGTCCTAATTCCAGCTCTATCTAGAATTATGGGAAGGCATCTATCTCTGGGCTGACACGTCCTGTCCTAGATTCAGACTTACAGATTTTCAAAATAAGACCTGTGAATTCAAAACGAATTGAGTCATGCCAACACAAATCCACAAGCTGAGAATAAGAGACTCCAAAGCTTTCCTATGAAATGAACGAGAGAAGAAATTAACGAGAAATTCCAACCACAAACATTGAGACTTTTGAGCGGGAGAGCATGAAAGCTCACAATTCAAACAAATGAAGCATGCCTCATCGCCTGACCAACGTTCTCAACGATCAAACAGTGCTCTTTGCCTATCATCTATGTAACTGAATGTTCAATTAATGGTTAGAAAATCATCCAATCAATAGCAAACTACAGATTGCACTACTGACTGTTCTACACCTTTTCCACGTGCGAGAATTTTCGCGCTCTTGTCACCTCAGCTGATTATTCCGAATTCGATTCGATGATGATGATATGTTTTCCTCGTACCCGTCGCTATAACAACAACAATACGTTACCTCGGCGTGCTGCACGCGGTTGTTATACTCTCACTGCTCGCCGACTTTGCTCTATTCGTTCGTGCCCAATACTCGATATGCTGTATATTCTCGATTGGTGGTGAACGGAATCCATCCAACCACCTCTGACTGTATTTACTATCCAACCGACGGCAGCGAGGACTTTGACTCGATCAATGAATTTCAGTTGCTCAACAACCGTCCTCTGTGAACGACACTATATTCGCCGAGGGAGGGTAACTCAGCTATTGTAGATAGTCTAACGAATATAGTTTTCTGTGGTGTAACCTAGTAGTTTGTAGAAAGTATTTGTTTCGTGTACTGTGTCTTCAAGTGGAAATCCCAACTGTGTAATCAAAGGGAATCAGCACAGATGTTTGTGAATTGTTGCAATCACATGAAGAATTCAGCGACCAGTCAGTGCCTATAAACGTGTAAAGTGTGAGTCCTGTGCAAGATTGGTCACCGAGGAAATGTGAAAACAAGTTTCCCATTCTCTGAGATTGAATCGAGTGGAAAAGAGTGTTCTGTCCGTCACACGAGGTGAGCGATCAGAATTGGTCAATCGGCACAGTAGAGATATACTGTATTTGAGTGTGGCAAGTGACCATGTAAGACCGAAGCCAACCGTTGGTTCTCAAAGCTTTAGATTCACAGGAGTGTATGCCTTACATGTGTGTAAATTCAACTAGTTACTGCGAAAGAACAAACGAAACCCAAATCAAGTGTCCAGCCCCACGGGTGTGCATGGCGATGCATTGCCAATAAAAGTTGATAGTTTACATGTTCGGCGTAAGCAAGTGCAGTGCAGTGAAGTTGGCAGAAAGTGAATGCCAAGAGTCTATCCACGGCCCACGAGGAGCATAAGTGAAATAGCATAAAATCGACTCTTGAAAAAAAGTGTTTAATCTTTTCGTCATTCCTGTCGCCATTTACTTGGTGGTCGTGTGCATACGCTTAAATCAAGTAGGTAAGAAGCTGTTGGCCAACATTAACTCAGAGTCGCCGTCGGAATCGAAGGAGTAGTGACAGAAAATGGTGCAATGGACACTGGTTTGGGCCGGCATCGGTGTCCTAATGGCCATCTCGGGCGCCCTGCTCGGATGGGTAGTTTTTCCCGTGGCAGTGCATGACAAAATCATCGAGGTGAGTGTGATGCATGTGGTGCATGCGTTCATATGCATGTGAACTTGTTCTATACCAGGAAGTGCTGATCAGCTGCTGTGATAGGGCTTATGGGAATTATTGTGGAAAATTACTGCTTTTAATTAGATCGTCCGTATTGGATTGGACATTAAATAATGATGTATTGTGTGGACATTAGGTGCGTCACAAAAGTGACTCCGATTTTGACTGTTGACTTCAAAAAAATTTAACTCAAGAACGAAAAAAAAAACACATCGCTGATTTTTTGATATGTTGTGTAAAACAGCCTAAATTTTCAAGGAAAAATATATAAACATATTGCGCCTTCTGTCTACAAACCATAACAAATACAAATCAATCAATGTTTTTCAATACAAAACCCAAATATTTTGAAACAATTATATTATTTGAATAGTATTTTTAATTACCTTTTATTTTATATGTTTATATTTGAAATCAGTCCAGTGGTAATAAAAAAAATTGATTTTTTGGTCCACCCTAATGACAAAATAAAAAATAAGGTTCTAACATTTAACGATAAGGAATAAAACTGCCAATTTTTACATAATTCCGAGAACCACTATATCGGTTTGCTGTGGAATGGCTGTATACCGATATCTTGAATATATTTCTTAGGATCTTGAATATTTCCTCAAGCTCGGAATTCTTATCTTTTCCTTGGTATGGGATTCAAATTTATGTCTGAGATCTAAAACAAAAATAGCAATGTCCCAGAGTTGCAAAAATTTTCAAGATCGGGATAATTTTCCTAAATTATTCATGTGAGAATCCTAAACAATTTCCTAGCTTTAGACTCGTAAGTTTTTATTAATTTTAGCAATCCCAAATGTTTTTCGATTTCAAAATCTCCTGGAATGCCACGCTGATTTTTTTTTAATAATGCTCACAGTCCATTTGAACCCTTCCTTCAAAATCCTTATGAATTCTCTTAAAAATTCCCTAGAAACTACCTTTTGCGTTAATTTCCAAGTAGCGCTCCTCAGAATGCTATTTAATTCCTTGATTGTCAGCCCTAGGTAATCATTAGGGGTAGCGTCAGAATCGTAAATATGGTTACGGCATGTAATGTCAGCCTAGCCCCTTCACTTCGGCCTATCAAGCAAATAACTAATTTATTCAGCAAAAAAACTAGTATCGCATCTGCTGTGAAATTGTAATCCGTAAATGAATTGCATATTTTGAGGACAAATTGCTCTTTTTTTAAAGAAAAAATAAGGTGAAATTTTTATATTTTTAATTCTTTCTAGGTGCCATGATCCTGCCGTATTATTGCACTAATGAAAATCTACACTGCGGTGGCCATCAAAAAACCCGAAAATTTCATGAATTTAAAGGATTTTCCTTTTTGTAACATGGTAGCCTAATAAATCAATATCCCAGTTTTCACTTGTATTCAGAAGATTTGCAACTCTTTACTACTGTAAGAAATTTCTCATAATCAAATGTCAGTTTCGAGAAACATAGCGAATGGTTTCTTTATCTTTTCACTCAACTGAAAAGTCCCGAAGGCAAACCGTATCGAAACGGTACGTCCATTCGCGTCTACAAAGCTTGATGCGTTAAACATGGCGACTTTTTTCTTATCGGTCGCTCTACCGAAAATTCCCGTAGCCAAATATCAATCTTTACGTGAAAATTCAATGTCCGTAAGCGAACTAGTTTTCTAAAAGGGTGTATACCCGTACATGAAAAAAAAAACAAAACGACTCAACAGTTGAGTTATTGTATATTAGTATTTAGAAATGCCTCTCATGTTAAGAAATACAAAACATTCAGTGAGTAGAAACTCTGCCATTTATAGCTAACACGAATGTTTACATTCGTCATGCATGCAGCGTCCGGAGCTGGTGACACAATAAACAACATGACCAACTAATGTAAACATTCATTGCAGTGGTTCCTGAATTGATTGAAATTTTGGTATTTGCTAAAACGCTAACTAAAAATTGCATTCAATGTTTGGCTAATTAACTGAAATGTGATTCTGTTCATAGGGTTTGGGGAGAAACAACATTACACAATACGTTTCTGATGAACTGATTGTTTCAATTAATTAATGAACTTTTACAGTTCCTACCCGCTGAGAGAATTAACATCAATATTATCAGTTATGTCAGGCTGCTGTCATCGCGTAAAATTAACTTTACCATGAGGTTACCATATAGTTATGAAACTATAGTTCCTTGTGCGTCATTGACATTTTTAAAGATTCAGAATTAATCAGTATATTTTTGAAATATAATTTAACTTCATAAGGTACACGGCCGTCGAATTTGAGTTATACATGAGCTCCGTTCACTCAAATTCGCAAACACGCAGGTCACTCAAAGACTGAGTAAAATTTTCCTCGGTTTTCCAGAAAAAAAAACGTTTCGAATATGAGGGAAATCGGGAGACGTTTCACTCAGTCTATTAGTATAGAGTATAGACTGAGTAAAATTTTCGTCGATCTTCTTCATATTTATTCGAAAAGCAAAACGAAGAACGTATTACTAAGTCATGAATGACCTACATCTTTGCGATTTTGAGTGAAAAACCACTCAATTTTGAGTCGATATCATCGGCCGTGCATTAAAATTCCGATGTAGGCTTTTTGGACTATTACTTCTAGAGCAACATGTCATAAAGTTCTATGAGCCGAATGTAAATAATGACTTTCCACGATTGCTCATGAATCACAACACGTCCACTCCACGCAAACTAACTACACTATTTGATAGAGCAAACTAACTCTGCCAGATGCTGCCGTTGATTTGCCTGAAGGCTTTTACTCGAAAAAAATGCACCATTTTTATCCGTGTGTAACTTTTTTAATCGTGGGTAAAAATTGATGAAAATCTGGGTATAACTAACTGGGTTTGAAGTAAATTGTTTACATGTGCAAAATTTGAATTTTCGCGCCGACATGGAAAATCCGACTGCGACCATGAGATGGATCGGAAGACAACTGGGAATCACCCATAAAACTGTGTCTCGGGTGGTAAAATCGTTTAAGGTGTCCCAGACGACTGAGCGGCGGGCTGGAAGTGGAAGAAAATCGAAGACAGCTAATCCTGTGAAGGCCCGGAAGGTGTTGGATTATTTCAAGCGTAATCCGAACCTTTCGATTCGCGACGCGGCTTTGAAGGCAAAGTTTTCCGCCTGGTTCGTTCAGCAAACCATGAAACGAGCTGGGCTTCGTGTATTCAAGGTCCGGAAGGCACCGAACCGGCCTGATCAACAAAACACGGCGGCCAAATCCCGCGCAAGGAAGCTGTATCGAGAGTGGTTATGGATGACGAAACGTACATCAAGGCAGACGCAAAACAGATACCGGGGCTGAAGTTCTCCGTTGCCAAATCACGGTTTGATGTTCTGGAAGACATAAGGAAGAAGAAAGTGGACAAATTCGCCAAAAAATACTTGCTCTGGCAGGCCATATGCCAATTCGGTAAACTGAGTAAACCGTACATCACAATGGGTACCATCAACAGCGAAATTTACCGGACCGAGAAGGCCAAAGTTCGAAAATCGTCCAAGGTGTTTAAGAACGAGCTGGAGTTGAAGAAAGAATGGATGAATGTGACCAAAAAGGTCGGCTCCGCCATTGCACAAAATGTAATGAGAGGTCTTAAGGGAAAGGTGCGGGCCTTCAGCGATGGAAAGGAAATTGAATAAAGTAATTATGCCGAAACATAATCCATATGTATTAGTTCATTCCCTGAAAGTTTCAAGAAAATCCGACTTAAAATAAAATTTTGGCGAACACTTTTGTCTGGTGCTTTTTTTTCGAGTACAGGCCTTAATGCGCAGGAAATCGACGTTTAAAGCCATGGTTTACATTTGGAACATAGGCCCATTTCACATGTTGATCTAGAATTCGACAGTGAGCATTCATAAGGGCGTATACGCGATGATCGATTCTCTTAATCGATTTTCTCTTTTGTTAATAACTCGCTAGATTTAACGTTTGTCGGTGCGTTTGCTGTTGCTTTTGATAGCCAATGCAACCTGTTACAACTCTACATTGAATAAATTCTACAAAATTGTTTCGCTTAGCTGTAACAAAGTAAAGAGAAAATCGATGAAGAGAATCGATCATCGCGTATAGGCCCTTATGCATGCTCACTGTCGAATTGACTTGACAGTTCGTTATATGTGTGGTCGTGATATGACCGTTTTGGCATCGTGGTTTATGTTATCTGGATCAACCGGAAAGCAAACACTGTCTCTTTCTTCCTCATCAGTTCTGACACGAGAAGTGTAAGTAACAATTGTTTAGGTGAAGTATTTTTTTTGCTTATAAGAGATTTGAATAGATTTTTCTCCTTTACTTTACTAAAACCTTTGGTTATTATTAGTTAGATAGGTTCCACTTCTGCACATTGTAGTTTCATTTTTATACCTGTGTTCGTGACATTTTTACCTAGGGGATGAGTACTTAGGGGCTATTCACAAACTACGTAGACAATGGGGGGGGGGGTTGGCAATCATCTACGGCCCATACAAATTTTTTTTTTGTATGGACAATTGTCTACGTAGTTAATGAACAGTCCCTTAAGGGGGTTAGGTTTTTGATAAGTCTTAAGTGGGAATGAGACTGATGAAGACTGCACATTGTAGTCGAAATACGTATCTGTCATGGATACCAAAATTATTTGAGTGGAATGAAATGGAAGATAACCCTTTTTTTTCTGTTTAATGTTAACAATGTGGTTACGTATGAATTATAAGGAGTATAAAAGAAGCGCGATTTCACATGCCGGACCATATAGGTCCACCATTGTATAATTGGTAATACACCCGTGTACTGAAAGGGAATTGTGGGTTCGAATCCTACCGGTGTCCTTAGATTTTTACGCAAATTTTCTCACACACACGTCTCTTACCGATGACATGTGCTAACCTCTCAGTATGTTCAAACTTTCTTACAAATTAAATTTTTTAAATAGAGCAGGATTAGAAATGTCCATTCTATCCCACTACCTAAATTGCTTATC